ATATCTATCTATCTATCTATCTATCTATCTATCTATCTATCTATCTATCTATCTATCTATCTATCTATCTATCTATCTATCTATCTATCTATCTATCTATCTATCTATCTATCTATCTATCTATCTAAATAGATAGATACATATATGGCAAATTAGTTTTAAATGAGGGGCCTTAGTATCCATCCATTAGATTCTTCCTTTCTGGTTCACGGGGGCAGGGTCGGCCCAAGCCTCCATGGGGCCCTAAGCGATATTAAGTTTAGGGCCGCCTGTTTCTGCTAATAATATGATTACTGCAACCAACAGTCAGATGATCAGATCATTCACTGCACCTAACATTAAATCATTGCAACTCTGACAGCCCTGTTTACATGATCCTATATGTAGATATCATCTAGTGCAGGGGGGTCAAACTCATTTTCATTTTGGGCCACATCAAGCTCAAGAATGTCCTCAAAAGGCCGGACATGACAGAATGTATTTATAAAATTACCTGTTAAACTGGTAAAATAGAATCTAAAAAAGTTAAGTCTGGTCCTCTGGACATAATATATATATATACGTAAACCACGTAAAATAAAAATAAATTTTAAGTTGAATAATTAGTTCTTAAAACTATGTAAATGTATGCAACAATTTGTAAAATCTGAACTTAAAATATTAAACAACCTTTACCCACAAATTTCACGGGTTTAATGCTACTTCTTCCTTCAATACTTCACAAACTTCCTAAAACATGTGCTTCCTCTTAGGGGGGGGCCTAGTGGCCATGGGGCTCTAAGCAGCCGCTTAGTTTGCTTATGCCTTGGGCCGGCCCTGCACTGGGTTCACTGGTGCCCATCATGTCCAGCAGTCACTGTGTGAGAGGAGGGGTTCACCCTGGACAGATCTCAGGTCCATCACAGGGATGCATAGAGACAAACAACCATTCACACATTCTCTAACACCAAGGGAAAATTTCAAAGTTTCCATTTAGCCACTGTTTTTGGTCTGTGGGGTGAAACCGGAGTACTTAGAGAACCACGCATGCACGGAGAGAACATGCTAACTCTACCCATAAAGGTGCCAGGCTGGGAATACCTCACCCTCAGCAACTACCTTGAACCGTCAGTGTGTACCTGGTGTAACTGTTATCTATACTTATGTCGGCCCTGTCTGGAACAACCTGAGCACAGGACCACCCTCTTGTGGACCCACCACCTCCTACAACTAGCACTATTAACAGCTGGAAGGTTGCAGCTGGGCTGAGAATCACCACCTTTTAGTCTGAGGCCATGGTCCTCAGTGAAGAAAACTGGTAAATGAGCCACTGCCTGGAGTGGGTGATGTGAGTGGCATGAGTCTCATGAGCTTGCTCACGAGAGGGGATAAAAACAGCAGAAAGATAAAAGGTGAATCGGGGTAGCATCTACAGTCCTGCAGATGCTGTGACAGTGAGGACAGAGGTGAGGTGAAAGGCAAGAATGTCAACTGACCTATCATCCCACCTTTGACCTATAGAAAGAATAAACTTGCACATGCAAGCGGCTGAAATAAATTTTCTCTGCAGAGACATTCTGACCACTTAAAATGCACTTTCACCAATTCATACACTTGCCCATGCAACAATTTGCAGATCAGTGGGAACTCATGGTTGAGTGAGTTGTAGATGGATGGATGGATTGAGAATATTATGCAATGAAAGCTTTACCAGAAAATATCTTGGTTAATTTTATTTAATCATGTTAGTTATCGCTTTTCAATATAATAGTCGTTTTTCATATAAATATTTAAAAAAAAACTGCAGCGTTTAACCATTACCAGCTGGGGGCAGCAAAGTGCTGATGTCAACGATGAGCTCCGCCATATCATTCAACGAAGAAGAAGCAAAGGGCGGCCTTCACCGACAGCAGTAGCCAAGTTCTTTTTAGCTAAAACGAAAAAATAATTTCTCCTCCCCCTACTATATACAGACTTAAGGGTTGTTTGGAATTAAGACCCATTCATGTAAGTGTCTAAATCAGCTGTTGTTTAGCAGTGTCTGTGGTATTTACTTAGCCTCTGCCAGGAGCTTAAATATCTCCAGCTCGCTATTGTTTGCGTTGAGGAACTAGTTTAACTTAGACATGCCGATGCTTTATGTTAAGACTATTTTCTAGGAATTTGGACGTTTTGTTACCTGTTAGGCCCGACTGTTTTTTTGGCAACTGAGGACATTTTTTTTCTTATCTCCAGTTTATTTTGTGTCTATGTAAAAATCGCCGAAGTTTGCTATCATACGGTAACGATGGCTAACGAGAAAGTAGAGTCGATGGTCCCTGTCGGCGGGTAACACACGTGCGCTAAATTCTGTGCGCCCATTATCGGACAGCTAAAACGATTCACTTAAAAAAAAAATGTTCCCAGGTTATTTGAGGTTTGTTGGCTGCACTGGGTTGTATGGGTTTAAAACGCTAAAATGCCACCCTGTGAAATGTAATCTTGAATTTGTATCTCTAGTAAGATGGACATAACTGTTCGAAGCTTGGCTAACATCACCAACCTGACTCATTAGCCGACTTGCTATGAGGTTGAAAATGTATTTAAAGTAAAACGTCTAAAGTAATAAATGTTTAAGGTCAGTTATAAGCATATATAGTGTACAGTTTGTTTTTAGCGCTGTTAAGTCACCATCATTAACGCGTATAAAATCTGGACACTCGTTAACTCCGTTTTAAATTAATGTGGCGACATTTCTGCGATTAGAAAACAAATCCCAGCAGACAAATGGACCTCTTGCTCATTTATGCTAAGTCTTTAATTAACGCAAATTAATGTACTGTGGTCTTCACGCAGTAAAGACATGGGATGATCGTTCAGCGGTAAACTAATTTCTTGACTCAGGTTTGGCTCTTCTTCTTCACTTAGCCTCTACTTCCGGAATTAATGTGTCGTCATTCTTAAACGCGGAAGTGTGAGGCTGGTAAGGCATGATGACTTAACCCTTAATAAAGGAAACGTTAACGAAATAGTAGCACGATCTGCTGATGTTCATAAATAAGAAGGAGTATTTTTATTATTATTATTATTATGTGCATTTTTCTGTTTCATGTTGCTGCTGATCTGTTTCAATGTTGATGTATTCATGCGTGCACATCCACTCACACAGACTCATGTTTGTGCTGATGTTCAATGTTTTTATGTTATGAGTGCTTAGTGTATATTTAGTTGATGTTTTTCTTAGTTCATATCTTAGATGTTATTACTGTTTTTCTTATACATTTTATTGTTGGATGTAACTGGGACCTTGTGTACATAATTTCGCTCCACCACATGTACCACATGAGGTGCGAATGACAATAAAGAAACTCTGACTCTGATTTTATGTGTTTATGTGCATTTCTACCTCACTTCTTAAAAAAAAAATCTGTATATTGTTTAATTTCAGGTGCAGCCGAAGGAAAGGGTATTGAACTACGCAGATATGTCCGGGGCCTTTCGGGACAGAAGAAGTCGCTGGCAAGAGATTCAGAAAGGCCTTCAGTTTATTCAGTAAGTCTAGTTTAGATTTTTTTTTTTAAACTTGTGCGTTTCCGAGAGCGTAGTCCATCCAGGATGTCTAAAGTTTTTACAAGTTCAAAACTCTGCGATAATAAAAAAAAAATAGAAAAAAATAAGTAATTCACTTTGTCCCATTACATAATTGTTTAGAGAAAAATAAACCCCCAAAAAACTTTTATTGTCGGTAACTCTTGTTTGATTCACTTTGTGTTAAATTTCACTTTTACTTTTTGCTTGGCTATTGCAGATTCTAATTTTTTTATATACATTTTGGTAGAAATTAGCTAATGTTCTGTTACGGCTTTGTCTATTATTTCGTGTTTTCATAAAAAATAATTAATTTTTATTAGTCTTTTTTCCCAGCTGGGTGTTAAAAGTTGAACTTCTCAGTCTTCATTGCTCTATGAACACATTAATGTAAGCTGACTTTTAAAAAGGAACATTAATCGGGTTAAAACAAGCCTGTGTAGTAGATGGTAAATAATCTTTGCATCTACAAATTTCAGAAGAAACAAGGAAAGGGCGATCACTGAATATAGAGCTGATATTTGAGATTGTGATATGGTTGTGATGGGTGTAAAGTGTAAAGTTTTATTGGCCTTTAGTTGCTGTGGTTGTAGGGATTTAATAACCAGCCCCAGAAGGGGACAAGTGAAATTGACTTGATGCATCCCCTAAACTTTCATACAAAAGATAAAGCTATACACACATAATGTGTTAGTGTTATCGTTTCTGTAGTAAATATTATGTAATATAAAAAGAAAAAGTAGATAATGTATTTGAAAGTCAAATGAGTACTCTTTGGTTGAAAAATATTCTTTTCTGAACTGGTTTTAATGCTTGAGCCCTCATTGTTATAAATCTTTAGCTAGTGGGAAATCAGATATACAGTGCATCCAGAAAGTATTCAGTGCTTCACTTTTTCTGCATTTTATGTTACAGCCTTATTCCAAATTGTATTAAATTAATCTCTTTAAAATTCTACACATAGTATCCCATTATAACAATGTGAAATTTAAAAAAATATATATTTTTGTTAATTTATTAAAAATAGAAAACTAAGAACTCATATTTGCGTTAAGTATTCACAGCTTTTGCCATGAATCTCATCATTGAGCTCGGACGCATCCTGTTTCCACTGATCATCCTCGAGATGTTTCTCAACTTAAGTGGAGTCCATTTGTGGTAAAATCAGTTTATTGGACTTGATTTGGAAAGACACATACCTGTCTATATAAGATCCCAAAGTTGATGGCGCATGTCTGAGCACAAACCCCCAGCTTGAAGTCAAAGGAATTGTCTGTAGACCTCCGAGACAGGATTATCTTGAGGCACTAATCTGGGGAAAGATACAGAAAATTTCCTGCTGCTTTGAATGTCCCAATGAGCACAATGGCCTCCATTCTTCATAAATGGAAGAAGTTTGGAACCCCCAGGACTCTTCCTAGAGCTGGCCGGCCGTCTAATCTGAGCGATCGGGGGAGAAGGACCTTAGTCAGGGAGGTGACCAAGATGGTCACTTTGTCAGAGCTCCAGTATTCGTCTGTGGAGAGAGGAGAACCTTCCAGAACGGCAGCCGTCTCTGCTGTAATCCACCAGTTATGTCTGTTTGGTAGAGTGGCCAGATGAAAGCCACTCTTCTAAAAGGCACATGGCAGCCTGTCTGGAGTTTGCCAAAAGGCACCTTAAGGACTCTTAACTATCCATCCATCCATGATTTTTTACCCGCTTCTTCCTTTTTGGGTCACTGGTGCCCAAATCCAGCAGTCGCTGTGTGAGAGGCAGAGGACACTCTGGACAGGTCACAAGTCCATCACAGAGACACATATTGGAGATGAATTTGGTCCATGTGACCAGAGTGACCCATCTGTGAATTAGATTAACAAAGACCTTAACAAACCCCTACTGTGAGGTGTGATGGATCAATCTGCATATGTAAGTATGTATCTTACTTCAGCTTTATAACTCGAACCTCACACTCCCTGTCTTTGAATTGAGAAAGCTTCTCGGATGAGAAGCAAAACATCTTCTGTTGCAAATAACGTCCAGTTGTTTTTGTCTTAAACTTTTTTTGAATTTACTATGTCCTGGATGACTGAGAATCTTCACCAGCGAATAGAGTCGAATGAGACGAATAACCATTCACTCTCACTCACACTTGGACAATTTAGATGAGAAACAAAATTCTGTAGATTGATGAGATAAAGACTGAATAAAGACTACATTGAAGCATGGTGGTGGCAACATCATGCTATGGGGATGTTTTTCAGCAGCTGGAACTGGCAGAAAAAGAAGAAAGAATACAATTTGGAGTAAAGCCCCCAGTATACTCCCGCGTACATCTGAACGCGGAGGTACGTGCGTACGTACGCAGAGGTACGAGCGTACCCATGCAGGGCATGTCCACGCAAAGCTCAGTTTTTACGATCGCGTACGCGGTGTCGCACAATAAACTGCCCGGCGACGGACTGTTTTGTATGCGACACCAATGTATTAAATTCCCCTTCTTCACCCCTGATTTGGCTTTTTTTTTTTTTTTTTTTTTTTGCCAAGAGGCAAGCGATCTCTTCCTCCTCCATTGATGCCATGACTGAAACTGTGAGGAATGAAGAAATTTGTCACGGGGGAATTAAAATCAGGTCCGGCGTGGCTGCGGGGAGGGTCTGGAGATTTCCTGTGGGGCTGGTCTGATGTGTGGGCTGCAGGAGCAGCACTCCCCGTTTTTAAAATTTTTTAGATCTTTTTATTAACAACATATAAACACAGAACATAGCTGCGGCTGAGGCTGCCAGCGCTCAATTTTTTTTCGACCACTCAATCAATCAATCAATCCAGTAGGCGTGTCAGCAAATGACCAGTCGGTGACCTCAATGTGTCCTGAAGGTAAACGTCTCTTGTCTTTGGAGCTGCTCTGCAGCCGCTCAGGGTGGACGCTCGAGTATGAAGTCTGAACCCTCTGCGTACAGTACGAGTGTACGTACACGTGGACGGACGTACGCGGGAGTATACTGGGGGCTTAAGAAACTCTTAATGCATAAGAAGAAGAAGCTCTTTCTTTTCCTTGAATAAACTGGCCCAGATGACATGATTGAACCTTTTTTGTTAATTTGGAATAAGGCTGTAACATAACAAAATGTGGAAAAAGTGAAGCACTGTGAATCATTTCCATATACACTGCATCTGTAGACCAGGGGCAGACGAGGACATTTTCCAGGTTGTCCAGCAGACAACCTCTTGACAAAAGTTGTCCACAACCTTAACAACAAAGGAGGCAAAAAAATCTAAAGAAAAATGTAATTTATTATATTGCACTATATACAAAGTTTACTCTGTCAGCCATCGTCAGAGTCAGTCAGAGATTCTTTATTGTCATTCGCACCTCATGTGGTACATGTGGTGGAGTGAAATTATGTACACAAGGTCCCAGAAACAGATCAGCAGCAACACGATGTGATTTTTTTCACAGCGATTATTCTGGTTAGAGATTCATGAGTCCAACAGCCTCAGGGTAGAAGCTGTTCCCCAATCATGTGGACTGCTTGGGATTTCCAAGTTATTGAGTGGCAGTTTCAGGAGCTGCTGGAATAGAACTTCCTTGCTCTCATCCTCGAGGCACTCGCAGCGTATTTAAGGCTCAGGGATTAAAGCGGAAAAAAATCTTTGACAATTTTTGTCTATACTTAGAGGTTACCCAAGCATCCTCCCCAATACTACTAATTTTGGAGTTTTTACCTGCGTACAGGTCAAAGGTTTTCACATAAAGAGGAGTACAGTAGTCCCTCGCTACTTCGCAGTTCGACTTTCGCAGACTCGCTGTTTCGCGGTTTTTCAAAGTAAAAATTGGACACGACACACAATTGGCTGATTGATGGATGAGCCACATGAGCGGCATGGATTGTTTATTAAATAAATTATTTTAAATGATTTAGCACTTGCTAAATCAATAGGTGCAGGGAGAAGCTCACTCTGTCATGATCTCCTTTCTCTGCGACCCACACACTTCTGCTCCGTGCTGCATCTGCTGCGTGACGGGTTAACCCTTTGCTGTCCTGCTGCGTTTCTCTACAATATTTTAAATGAACAATCCATTATGCGTGAATTGTTTATTTAAAATATTACATTTACAGTATAATGAGAAAATAATACAGGAAACTGATTTGTGCTCTCACCTGCGGTCTATCTCTGAGCTGGGAACGTTGGCACACCTGCCATGCATCAGATGGCACGACCCGCTCCGATTGAGTCCAACTGTGGCTCTAGTTCTTTTTATTTGTTGAAAGCAGCATCAGTTTAATCCTTCTATCGTCTTTAGATGGATGGCTTTAAAAAGACCACAACAAAACCCATGTTTCCCCCTTTTATTTTTACAGATGACAGAAATCTGTTGCGGCAACGGAGAACTTTTATTCGTGTCTATTTCACTTGGCTGTCCACCGGACAACCTCGAGTCAAGATCTGGTTGTCCGAGATGGAAATAGGTTGTCTCGGTCAAACAGAAACCGCTTATGTCGGCCCCTGTGAACTAGTATTTAATATAATCATATTCATGATGGGAATGGGGAAAAAAATCTTGGTCATGGTCCTCATGTCAAAACATCATTCTGGTTGCATCATGGTCGTTCAGATCAGAAGTGAGGCTGCTGATTAGTGGCTGCTTTGTTTTGATGGCTCGTAGAGACTAAAGGTTTGTCGACACATTGTTCTAAAACTGTGCCTCGCAGCATAAAGTTGCATTTCCTCTTATCCGATGGTGCCCTTTATTCTCAAAACAAAAGTTGTCCACGAGCAGTTCACATCATAGCTGTATCACCGTGTGTCACGAGGTGAAACTGTTTTAATGAACCAGTTTTTCTGGTTAATGCGTTACATCATTTATGACCGACTCAGAAGACTGATCCTACAAATGTCTCACGGAGACGTTCTCACTTTGGTTGCAGGTGTTTTTAAATAACTCGCTTTCTGTGTAAGGATTTAATATCCGTATAGTTGCAAAGCTAGAACAAAAACTGCGCTTGTGACACCTTAACTAGGTCACTTTAAGGTCGAGTTGTGTGTTTCTTTGTCCTAAATCTGTTTTCATTTGTTGTTTGCTGAAGAACTGGGCCTACCTCAGTTAAAGTACACAAACCTTAAATGTCACATTTCTAAAATCCAATATGCATGAGAGCTTGGCTCAAAGTTTTTGTGCCAAGCAGCAGCTGAACCAGAGTTTAGCATAAAGGAACAGCTTTCCCATTGTACCGTTAAACACCAAAACCTTTTAACTTGGTTTGTGCAATAAATCATCTGACCAATTTAATGTTGCTTCAAATTTCTGACTATCGATGATTTGAAACTTAACGGTGTCTGCAGTCTTTTCTCAACACCAGCTGTGGATGTTTTAATTTATATGAAGCCATGATCTCACTTGACTGTGAATGTTGTAGACTAGTTGTTAAATCATGGTCTATTTTTGTGAGTGCAGTTTGTGAAAATTTATTCTAGGCCTGTGACATTATTTTCTTATCAATATCTCCTGTTCCGCCTACATCATCTGCAACATCGACCTGATTAGTATCCACCTCAGCATCTGTCTTCATCTACTGGTGTACATTTTGAAATGGAGATAAGAAGATTTTTACCAGTTTAA